TTCCTGTGATTTTTGTTTTTTTTTGGACTTTTTTTGAGGGGGTGTCATTTACAAATTCACATAAGTATGACATCGAGTTTTTAAAATAAAACAATGAAAAACAAACCAAAAAACATACTAAAAACGGTTTCCATACTTGGAGAAGTGCTGGGGGTCTCTAATGCATACCAACAATTACATTACTTAGAACCCATCTAATAGTAAAAGAGAATCGATACCAACAGAAAAAATGGAGCATATTTCCGCTTTCCTTGTGGTCGGTAGTTTGCGCCGGCGGGGGCGCGGAAAAACCTCTGGGTGCAAGTGCAAGTGCACATCTTGTCCGCCGTTCACGTCGGGTGCAGCGGAGTGCATCAGTCAGGAGCACCTGTGGGAACCAGTGCGCTCGCCGCCGCAGCATTATGAATCGGATCTTCAACGTTGAAGGTAAATTACGTTCATCGGTTTACGCTACGTCACTCCGCCGCGAGGAGAGCGGTGTATCCTCTATCGTCTGCTCGGCTTCTCGGCTTCTCCAGTGATATTTTGCTGTGAAGGGGAATTCGTTTAGATTTAAAACTACTTTATTATTGTGGTTTCTTTTGTTGTTTGGTAAGTGTTTTACAGCGCTCGCAGCTGCATAGTCTTATGAGCGTTCGTGATAGGCCTATATTAAAATTTTTCAGTTTGTGCTTTTGTTTTGTCGTTTTAGACATGGTGACTTCGAGGGTTTTTTTGTTGTTTTACTTTCGGTTGGGCGAAAATGTGCGTCTTTTTAGAAGTAGAGCCTACTATTTGGAGAATGTGTGTGATATTTATCCAGTAAGTTGCCAGGACAAGAAAACTTACTTTTTGTTTTTGCAAGTCGTAATGGTGTTTTTTTTTTCTTTTAAGAAAATTTTCAAAGAGAAAAGTCAAGAGAAAAGCTTGTGTGATATTATTGTTCTATTTTGCAATTTTTTTGTTTTATATGTTGTCTTAGGTTCCTTAAATATATTTCATGAAACAAACACACGTAAGTGAAGTTTTTAGAAGTTCTGAATTGATTATTCAAACATGCTGACAGCCGGGGAAAAAGACTACAGTATTTTTAAAATAAAAAATAAAAAAAATGAATTAATATATCAATCAATCAACCAATACACTAATGTCAAATGAAAAGGTTGACAACTCTAAAATATTAATAGAATGCTAATTGTAAGCTTACAACTGCAAAGGAAATGAAACCGTATACGTTATTCCTCGAGTGGTCAACTGTGTCCAAGGCTTTCAAGATTCCAATCCTCTGAATCGGTATTATTACGCCAATAACGACCTTGATTAAATTTTGCAACGTTTATGACGTAGGCCTACGTAAAGACTTGAAACTATTCTATGGGGCAAACTTTGTGCCCTAAAACATACTCTTTGAGTACTTTTTCTAGTCATGTTAATCGTGTCTTTTTTGTGTCTTTTTTTTGGCAGCAGGGGTGAGGGAGGGGAGGGATACAGTGGTCATTACTAGGGAATCAGTGTTTTTAAAAATCAAAAAGGTCTCGCTATAGCAGCTTCTTTTTCATTCGATGAGAATTCCTGCATAGCTCATATCGAAGTGCGAAAAAAAACTTCCTATCAAAACTGCCTGCAGTTGCTGCAGAATTCCGGTCTTTTGGTTTGGCATTTTCGATGATGGACGCTGCTATTCTGCTATATCGGATCTCATGTTTTTTAAGTAATCTGCAAAAAAAAAATTTTTAAATGGGCGTCATGTCCCTACCAAACAAAATGACTCTTTTGCCACTTCAGCACCATTGCATTTAAGTATCCTAACAACTGCGCGGTGAAAATGACCGGAATGACTCGCCACCATAGATTTGAATAATATTATCCAAGAAAGTTCACTGCCATAGCCGCTACTCTTTGCTCTCTGTAAAAACTTTGCTACGCCATGAACACCTTAATGAAAACAGCAGCCTCGCTATAGTCGAGTGCATGCAGCGCCTTTCCCCCGCTTGCCTTTTATTTGACTCCAAATGGAGCCAGTTTGTACGTTAAATTGGCCACCTTGGGTTACAAAGTTTCTATCTGACATTTTTGGCCGTTTAGTGTTACAAGAACCATGAGGTCAGAAACTAAATGTTATATGAGCTCTATCAGAACTTTAAGATAATTCGGGGGCGTCATCAAGATTTTCAAAGATTTGCTTTCGAAAAAGCTTGGCATGTTGTGAAACTCAAAATGCGTAACTTCAAATTTCTCAAAATCAGGCACTGAGCTTAGAAAACTTTGTATTTCGAGGGTAGCAATTGTGAACCGGAAGTACACCAGAGCGCATGATCTAGGATATTATACTACCAGTCTATGGGTGTACCTCACTTGGAGAGTTCATGGTCTAAGATATTATGATACAAACCTATAGGTGTACTTAACTTCGAGAGTTCATGGTCTAGGTATTATGATACAAATCTATGGGTGATCCTCACTTCGAGAGTTCATGGTCTGGGATATTATGATACAAATCTATGGGTGAACCTCACTTCGAGAGTTCATGGTCTGGGATATTATGATACAAATATATGGGTGAACCTCACTTCGAGAGTTCATGGTCTAGGTATTATGATACAAATCTATGGGTGTACCTTACTTCGAGAGTTCAAATCTCAAAGAGACCTCACACGGATGTGGGTCAGTCACTATCTATGGGTTCCTTACTCGAAGCCCAGATCATTTATGACACAACGTTCCACGATGTTCCGTTCTTATCATCTCTGTTACCTTGAGCTGTATATAGCGCGCATGCTGTCGGAAGAGCCCGCATTCAAAAAGTTTACTGCATTTCCGAAACGATTTCTTGGCATGTAGAAAGCTCTCTGACAAAATTAAATTTTGTTTGTTGTATTCTAATGGTATTTGTTTAGAGCTCGCTATAATAATTTATTATGTTTCGTTAAGTTTGAATATCTGTGGTTAAATGATTCTGCTCTTTGCTTTTCTTGCAAATAACGTGATTTCCATGTCGGGAAGGCATTTGAAAGAAAGGATATCCCTCTTTTAGCTATGATGTATCCCATTTTGCACCAAATGAACCTGGCGAGTGGGGTAGACAAAAAGACATTTTCCCTTACTTAAAACCACCCAAATTGTGTCTATTTACAGAGCTATTAATCTGGTGTTGTTTGTTCCTTTTTTCGCATCAAACGTCCCTTCCCCCC